TTGTTCCTAGTAGCTTCTTGTTACTACTAGTAAGGCACTTGTTACTACTAGCGATGCACTTGTTCCTAGTAGCGAACATTGTTACTTTTAGTAAGGCACTTGTTACGGACCCGTCGCCGAGGATCCGAGCCGCCGCGAGTGGCGGATCGATGCGAAGCCCGCGCCCAGCCGAGTGGACTACAGCGACTCCCAGCAGGCGCAGGCCAGGCCGCGAGGCGAAGAAAGAAGGCGAAGCCGCGGCGAACGTTTCGCTTGAGCTGAAGCCAGGAGTTTTGAGCGTTATTTTACCTAAAACAGGAGAGTTTTGGACTGCAACAGAACATACTGTACAGAGTTTTGGAAGAGAGATTCTCTGCTCATGGAGAGAGAGATGCCAATTCTTTGCAGGCGATTGCATTGTTCCTGGAACGGCAGAGCGATGCACGGCCCCCATTCAGCGAGACTGCGTGAAGCGCAAGCAAAACGCAATCCAAAATGGACCAAAAGAAAAGAATAGGAGCAAGGACACTACTAGAGGCTCCTGGCATCACTGCTATTAACAAGAAGCTACGAACGGGGCTCCTGGCCGTACTACTAGGAGCAAAGACGCTACGAACGGGGCTCCAACCCACTGTTTTCACAGGTCAGCTTCCGGAGATAGCCTCAAAGCAAAAAGCCGTTCCGGCTGTTCTTGTTAAGGAATTCTCGGTAGGGACACAGAGAATCTCGTTAATCCACTCTTCGTGCATAGGTATGTGTGTATAGGTATGTGCATGTGACTGTGGATGTGTATTTAGGTGAGCAATGGTTTCCACCAAACATTGACTGCTGCTGCTGCTGCTGCTGCTACCACTAGGCTTGCAGTTTTATTTGGAGAAGTTGACGCCCCCTTGGCCACCTTGGCCCTTGGCCAAATGACTGGACATGACCAGAAACGAATGGTGGTGGCTCAATGACCAGAAGTGAAGGCACAAGGTCATGCACATCTGAAAACTGAGACACCCGCATTCCGGAGCAAAACAGTCACTCGGGCTACAGTCACTCGGCACAGTGCACACACACCGAACTGAGGAACCCAAAGGAAATCGAAAGAACAATAAAGCATTGCATGTTTACTAATAGCTTCTTGTTACTACTAGTAAGGCACTTGTTACTAGAAGCGATGCACTTGTTACTACTAGCTTATTAAATAGACTTAGCACCGGTTTTCATGACTTCACAAGAGTGAGAGGCACAAACCGGCAGTCAGCCGAGCAATGAGATCCGCGGATCCGTTGAGTCACCATGTAGTAGTAATGCCCTCGTTACTAGTAGCTGGTAGCTTCTTGCTCCTAGTAGTAAGGCCAGGAGCCCCATTCGTAGCATCCGATCGCTCCTAGTAGCGATGCCAGGAGCCCCTAGTAGCGAACATTGCTCCTAATAGCAAACCAAGCAACTACAAGTTCACGAGGAAAGGCTTCTCATGGCTGCTACTCGTCCACCAGATTCGTTCTTCAAACAGCACATGGATCGGATTCGTTGGTGAGCACAAAAGAAGTCTTGGTCATTCATGTATTTTCAGGCTTCAAGTGAACCGTAAGCAAGTGCACAACGGCACATGAGTGAACTTCATGTTCAATCTGGATACTCAGTGCAAAACATGTGTGAAGTTAGTACAAATATGTGCAAGTCACCCGAATGCTTTAGCTAAGGTTCAGTACGCTGAGGAGCTTCTGAATCTTCTTGACCAGAATGCAACGCCGATCGAAGTCTTTGCCAAGGTCGACCCGGAAGTTCAAGCGTCGCTTTGGCCACCATCAATTGCCCCGAACGTAGCGTCCTTGCTCCTAGTAGTTTGATGGTCTCCAACTGTCCATAGCGTCGCTTTGGCCCGGACTTTTGCCCAAATAGAAACCACTCTGTGCTGCCAGGCTGTGCGGGATGTTGTGGGTCATCTCATGGGCAGGAAGCTTGAGAAGTTCGACAAAGAGCACAAACAAAACAAATGTGGACAGGTTGGTTGCTTGTCGCCATCGGAGTTTCAGAGTGTTTTTCCAGGTGCTACCAAAGCGGATGGTACGCGGGAGAAGCACAACATGTTGGGCAACGATGTCCGGAGCTGGGTGTTCGTGCAAAAGCGTCACGTTCGTGATGTATCAGTTGAAGAAGACAGTGTATATAGGTGTATATAGGTATCAAGCAATGGCCTCCAACCTAGTAGCGATGGCCTCCTGGATCAAGCATTGTAACAGTATTGTCAGATATAGCGAGTATGCAAATGAGATGATCTATATGTTGTTGTTTTTTGTCCTTCTTTTTTCTCTCTCTCTCTCTCTCTCTATTCTGTATATGTGTTATCGAGTGTGTATATATGGCGACTTAGTGAAGGAGTGGAGACGAGGAAGACGCACGGATGGCTGCGCTGTCGCGCTGTCGGATCATCGCTTCGATCCCTTGAAGACCCTAGTAGTAAGAATGCTCCATGCCCGGAGCCCCTAGTAGCGTCCTTTTGTTCCTAGTAGTAAGGCCAGGAGCCCCTAGTAGCTTTTTGTTACTACTGCACAACTTGCGTGAGGTTTGTGTAGGCGAACCTTTTAGATGAAACCCTTTGCTCACGTCCACCATAAGTGCTTCTTAGAAGACCAAAAACCGTTCTCAAGAAGCGCTGCAAGATGCATCAACTATACCTACGGTAAGAGGAACTTTGTCTTCCTCATTTGAGTCTTTTGATTCCTCAAGCTCCTACAGCTTGACTCCATGCGCCCAAAAAGACCCCTCTAACTGCTGTAAGAGGTGGGTAATTGTATTTCTTTCTATAAAAGTGTTTTGTTCTATATTTTTGGAATTCATCTATAGTAAAACCGAATCATATAGAATCTCATTTTTGCGCACGCAAAGACAGATATGTCTCACTCTGTGTGGGCTCAGCTTTGCTGTACGGAACGCAGTTCGTCTTTGCATCTCTTGATTCATGCACCCAGTTTAGCCCGCCAGCTTTGCATTTCTCCGTTTCGCAAGTGAAACACTCTTATCATGTGTTCCTACTTTACTAGCCCTCCGAGAGAAATCATTCGGGGCAGTGCCAACAAGCTGCAGTTCAGCCATGCACATGTCAGGATGAATTTCAACAAATCTTATGCAGCGTAACAAGCTACTAGTAACAAGGTGTATCGCTACTAGTGGCAAGGACGCTACAAGTAACAAGTGCATTGCTACTAGTAGCAAATAGCTAGTAGCAAGGATGCTACTAGTAGTAATGCACTTAGCTACTAGTAGCAGTGTCGCTACTAGGGGCTCCTGGCATCGCTACTAGTAGCGACGACTGCTTTCCACCTGTGACGACTGCACGTGTCGCTGAGGCACGATGGTTGTTTTTGGGCATTGGCTGTGGACTCCCTCTGCTCACAGCAGCGAGGCGGGGAAGTGGCAGAGGCCGTGTGTAGCATCGCTACTAGGAGCAAGGACCCTACTAGTAGCAAGAATGCTACTAGTAGTAATGCCCTTTGTTGCTAGTAGCAATGCCCTTACTCCTAGTAGCTTCTTTGGAGGCCATGTGAAGGCCATTGCTAGTAGGTTGGAGGCTACCATCATCGATAAAAGGAGGTCAAACTTGTGACGTTGCGTAAGGATTCTCGTCATAACGGCATGAAACTTCTGTGGCGTTTTCTTCCGTCTTTCTCCAGTCTTCCAGTTCGGTAAACAAGGTATTTGCCAGCATCAGACATTGTAGCCAACACCGCGTAGCAGTCTCAGATTTCTCAGATATTGTGGTACAAAGAGTCACAGCAACACTCTTCGATCTGGAAGAGAGTGCATTTGCGATGCCTAGGCATCGTGCAGCCTACATCGCTGACCTTTGTATGACCATTGCTCGAGAGTCCTCAACCTAGCACTGCTGCATCTTTGGAACGCTGGAGTCCGCTGGAGCTAAAATGTCTAGAGACAGAAACCTATTAGGTCGGAGGCCATCGCCACTAGGTTGGATGCCATTCCTATTGGGGTTCCGTTCTTCGAGACCGAGACCTGAACCCCAAGGAACGGATTGAAATCGCAGCAGGTGAAGCTTGGGCCTCGGAGTTCGGAGTTCGGGCAGCGATTCAGTGCATCGACTTCGAGTCGGGTGGCCTCCCACCTCGGAGAGAAGAGTTCCGTAAAGTATGCGCTCAAACAGATGCCAAACATTTGCCATGGCTGGCGCCGTATGGCGTCCAAGGTTTGTTCATCGCCCCTCCCATGAGCTGGCTGTGGTCGATCCGGACGGAGAGGATGAGAACAATTTGACAGGGAAAGTGGATGTCGTTCACAGCTTAGACATGCTTCGGATCTGAAACGAATTGAGGAACCCATCCACTAAAGTAATTACTAGCGTGGCACTTGTTTCTAACAGCTTCTTGTTACTACTAGTAAGGCACCTGTTACTACTAACGAGGCAATTGTTACTAAGACATGTTTGCTTGGTTCCAAGACATTTTTCGCTTCAGATCTTCTGGAAGAGGGGAATACTCTTCAGGTCGTACTTGACTACGAACTCTTCGATCCTGGCTTGATTGGAAAAGGCGTACCTGACTCAGAAAGTGCTTCAAAATCCACACTCGGTTGGAGGCCATCGCTACTCACACTCCAACATCGCACGGTGACACGCCGTTGTTGAGCGTTCGAAAGCCGATGCTCCCAGAAGAGAAACAGTGGAGCTCCCAAAAAGGAGCTGTAGTGCTTTCCTGAAGGAAGCGAGCAGAATCGCTGAGGGCGAAAGAGGGAGCAGAAATTCAGAGTGATGGCCTTCTACCTAAGAGCGATGGTTTGCAGCATCTCAGGTTTTGGCAAGGATCAACCACGTGAAGAAACGCCTAGCCACCTCAGATCATATGATCATGCCTATGGGCAGCGAACTCAGGAAAGCTGCGTTTCTACAAGCAGAACATATTTAAGAAGCTACTAGGGGCTCCTGGCCTTACTACTAGGGGCAAGGACGTTACTAGGGGCTCCTGGCATCGCTACTAGGAGCAAGAAGCTACTAGTAACAAAAGATCTTATCAAGCGTTTCTTCCGAGTCCACAATTTCAGCTGCATTTTTTGTGCACTTGGAATGGCGATGTGAGGTGCTCAGATTCTTTGTGCTCCGTGTGAAATCCGTTGCCCTCGGGGAGTGCGAGACTTACCAGATTATTTTTGTTGTTGGCTCCTAGTAGCAATGCCCTTTGCTCCTAGTAGCCATCCCCTTTGTTACTAGTAGCTTCTTGTTACTAGTAAGGCCAGGAGCGCCCCTAGTAGCGTCCTTGCTCCTAGCTTGAACAAGCAGATTTATTGCATCATTTCTCCCTGCATAGCTGGATGTTTCCTTGTGGCTCGGCTCCTAAGCGCGTATTGCGTTAACCTCGACGTCTGCCGATATCCTGTCCTTCGCATCTGGAAACCATTCACTTGACCTTCAGCCGGTGGTCTCGAGATGCTTCACTTGCGTGTTGGTGCAAGGAACAAGAAGCTACTAGGGGCTCCTGGCATCGCTTCTAGGAGCAAGGACGCTACTAGGGGCTCCTGGCCTTACTACTAGGAACAAAGAAGCTACTAGTAACAAGTGCCTTACTAGTAGTAACAAGTGCCACGCTACTAGGAACAAAGAAGGGGCAGACTGCACATGCTCCACGCCATCGAAACGCTCGCACATGCTCGCACCCTTTGCTCATCTCCGGCTCAACGTCCATTAACGTCTATCGTCTTTGCGCCCTAGTAGCCTCACTAGTAGCGTCCTTGTTACTACTAGTATGGCCAGGAGCCCCTAGTAGCTTCTTGTTACTAGTAGCGTCCTTGCTCCTAGTAGCGATGCCAGGAGGTAATGGCGGCCTCCTGTCGCGAACAAACCTGATCGGGCCTTGCAAAGCCGAAATCAACCGAACGACGCTCGGCCTCAGGAAGGTCCCGACGGATTGGACTGGCGAGCTTCGGGCTGAGCAAACGGAGACACGGCTCACATGCGCAGAGCAGACGTCTGCGCAAGTCTACAGATGTCACATGTGTGGTTTGACAGTGCTTCAGTTTCAATTGTGCTTGTTTGGCTCAATAAGATACTATAGCTTTCTAGGTCACTAGTGTGAAACTTGTTCACCTTGGTGCCCAAGAATGCTGCAGTTCTTGGCAACTTGCGTCGCCGTGCTTCCCAGTTCCGGGCTGGAGATCGCAGAAACGGCATCGGCCAAATATGTGGTGCTGGAAATGTACGCTGCCACATCTGCAGGTGCCGATATCGCCTCCCCAGGAAATGTTGACTTGTACGATGCAGCTGGACTGATCAATTATTTGGCCACGGAGGTCGTAGTGGAGACCGGCAAGGCTCCAGAACGTCCTGCCAGAGAGAATGGTATTGACACCATCGTGAAATATCAAATCCGAGTCCACAACAACATGAGTTCAAGTGATGTAGACGTGCAAGCGGAGTTTGCCAAGTATGTCCGCTTCGAGGATGGAGCAGTCAACAACCCTGAGGAGCGCTGGAATTTCATGCCTTTCATCCGCCGCATGGAGATGTACGACTCAACCTAATACCAAACAATATTAGACCTTTCACATCCTTTCATCCTTTCTTTTTTTGTTTCTAATAGAGATAGCCTCCAAGCTCCAAGCCCTGAGGATGCAGAGATGTTCGAAAGAAGCGGGGATCTCGTTGGAGTTCTTGCCTTTCATCCACCGCATGGAGATGTACGATTCCCCATGGACAAAACCTTCTATTGGTTCAGTTTAAGTGGACCTTGTCCAAACATGAAGAATGGAGACAAGAAGAGCTCGAACTGTACGAAATATCAGGAGGGCTTAGTGCCAGCCAAAAAGAGCCAATATGTGGCAGGAGGCCTTTGCAATCGCATCTTTACATCGAACATACCAGATGGCACGCCTGGATGCAGTTACTATGTCGAAAACTACACCAAGATGAATCTCGATGAGATTGTCGGTGTCACAAAGGAAGATTGTGGTGGCCGCAAATGTGCCAATTGGAAGGACTTTCGCCTTCATTGCAGTAATCCCAATTTGACCTTCACTTCTTTGGGAGTGAAATATTGCAAGGAATATGACTACCTAGGCTGTGTGACTTCATGCCAAGACCAATCCTGTGGCGAAGCTGGTAATGAAGTTGGTATCCCTTTTTGGATGGGTCGTTGCAATGCCAGTCGCAATGCCTTCCGTGCAAGATTTCTTGAGAAGGCATTTGGAGGCAGCATCATTGATGACTTCTATGCACAAAACCCTCGATGCGATCAGTATGGGCCAATGTGCAACAAGCCTGCACCAGATGCTGGCGTCTCCTATTGCCATAGGGATGACTCTGGAATCTGCGACGCTTGCTATGTGCCAGGCACACTGCGCTCAGTCGTTCCTCCCTCACAAGCTCCATGCCGAATTGACCTCTTTTTGAATCACAAGCTAAAACAATACCAGGACTTGGGCGAAATGGGCTCTGTTTGTTTTTCTTTTTGGTGGCTGGATCATAGGTGAATCAAGCAGGAACCATCCAGCGGCATATGGCTGCATGTGCATCTAAGACATGAACACATCAAGAACAGATGATAACTAGAATGTCCCCGCCCAAACAAAATTGTCGCAATTCCTTTACCATCCTTTACCCGATTGTCTCCTTGGTCCCGGATGTGCGCTGGGACTTGTGTTCTTTAGACCCATTCTTCCATTGTTCGTAGATTTGTTTTTCTCAGTTCACTTTTCGTTGGTGACTGGTGACTTCTTTGCGGCACAGCTACCTCTGAATTCCCCTTGGCGATGTTGCTTCGACCGCAAAGCCGGGCGGGTCGCAGAGCGAACGCTTCCGATGTGGAATGGATTGGAATCCCCCGTCCTCCTACCCATTCTTATCCTTCCCTGATTCAGAATGAGCGCCATTGCTAGTAGCTTGGAGGCCATCTCTAGTCGGTTGATGCAATGGCCTCAATTGTGTCACAATGCGTCGCAGGATGCACTGCCTCAGATTCTGAGTGTGATGCTGATGCCGAGTGCAGCTTGGCCACGGGAAGTTCGGCTTGCTGTGTTTACCTTGGGAAATGCAAGAGGACTTGGAAGACGGAAGACTGGGGCAGTTGCAATGCGACGTGTGGCAATGGAAGCAAGTTCCGAGAGGTTCCCTGTTGTCAATTAGACTAAGTTGTTTGCTTTTCTTTTGTATTTTCTTTATCTTTTATGTGAGGAAAACAAAATAGCCGGCCTGCCTGGCCGGCCTGTCTGGCCGGCCTGTCTGGCCGGCCTGCGCCTCCAACCACTCCCCTCCCACCATCCCCTTCGAGGTGCAGTGTCCCTTTCAAGAGATCTTCGGCGCCTGTGACGCCGCGACGCGGCCGAGCAACGCGTCGTTTTGTCGCGGCGACCGTTGTCCCTGGAGCAAAAGCTTTGGAAATTGGAGCGACCAATGCGACAACCGCTGTGGCGAGGGCAGCCAGAAGCAAGCGTTAATATGCGACTGCCCCGAGGCGGAGCGGGTTGGAAGGCTATTAATGATTGAAGGAGTTTTATGTAGACGTTTTGTTTACTGAAGGGATTTTTAGTTTTTCTTTATTTTCGCGCGCGCGCGTGGGGGAAGGAGTTAGGCTGCGAGTGGAGGTAGGTGAGGTAGCTAGCTAGAGGTAGCTAGTATACCTTACAAGGAAGCTACTACCTGCTGGACGCAGGATAGCGGCGGGGGAAGCTTCCTTGAAGAAGCGCTCGCACTAATGATTTGGTTCCTAGATTTTTAGGGAAACTCAACTAGCGATTGTGATTGCCCAGAGGCGGAAAATCAGAGCTGTCCTTTGGAAGAGTGTGCCAAATCTGAAAAGCCGAAGAATGTACCATCTCGGCCATGCTTTCCGCTTCAGAAGCCTTCGGCGGCGGAGTTTTGCCACCTTTGTGGCGAAGCGGACACATGCCAAGGATGCACCGAGGGCTACGATGTCAACATCCGAACCGGGAGGTGTGAAAATGCCAAGCGAAATCGCTTAGTACTTGTGACCTATGAGCTCCATGCCCTAAACCTGGCACTAGATACCAATGATTGGTTGGCGTCAGCATTTGTGCCTGCATTCAAAGACACGGTGTCCTCACAAATCACAGGGTCCTCGTTGGACGTGCTCAATGTCAGTGTCAGCCATGTCGGTCTTCCGAACAGCTATAGCGGCTCGACGTTCATCGTCACCGATGCCCAGAACTCGAGCGTGAAAGTGGTGGTGGCCGTTTCGCCAAGCGAGAACAGCGATGCCTCCTTAGCCAACTTGACTCAGCAGCTTACGCAGACAGACTTTGCACAGTTGGCCGACAGTCTTCCAAAAACTCTGATGAAGCACGGCTGCACATCAGAAAGATGTCAGATGCCGAAGGATTTGGTATGGACAATGCAAGAGCCAAACATTCTTTGCCCTGATGGACAGTGGACATCGAACCAATGTTTGCTCCCGTCATCATCCGGATTTCCAGTGTGGGCAATCATTACGATATCCCTCATCGTCCTCATTGCAATCGCAGCCGCACTTGTGTGGACTTGCAGCAAAAGAAGACAGGAGAATTCACGGCTCCTTGGTTAGCCTCTGAGAAAGCGTACTTTCAAGGCATTTCAGAGCGAGAAAAGACCGAAGACGAAGAGTTCGAGGATCGTTTGTTTTGTATTTCTTGTGATGCCTTGTGCGAAAAGCACTCATTGGCAACAAAAACACAAAAGCACTCACCACCCCGTCTTGGCCGGCTTTTCTTTCGACTCCAAACGGCGGAACGCGACGAACGCGAGGCTGGAGACGAGACGCGCTGGGGCGCCTTCTACGAGACGGGCAACTTGGATGGAAGTCTCCGGGAGCCTTGGCGCTCCTTAGGGCTCGGAGCCCCAAGGGGAACGCGACGTAACGACACGGGAACGAGTTGCGAGGGCCGCCAAGGGCCGCCAAGGAGGGCCCAAAGGGCCATGGAAGGAGATGGAAGGAGATGGAGGCTTTTATGGAGCATGCCATTTGAGAACTTGTCAACTTGTCTTTTCTATTTTGAGCGACGTGTGAGGGCTTTCAGTGACTGAGTTGGATTTCTGAAGAAGTCGTTTAGTTTTGCATGTCCAAATGCCTGTGTTGCCTGCGTTGCACAGAACGCAAACCTCCAAGGCCGGTATGTGAGGTCTTTGAATTCGACTTCACCGAGCCAGAGATGAAGATGTCACCAAGCTGATCTGAGAGAAAGAAAGATAAGAAAGGTCGAAAGAAACAGTATGATAAAACAACATATAACTAGTAGCTTCTTGCTACTAGTAGCGATGGCCTCCAACCTACTTGCGATGGCCTCCACCTAATAGCGTCCTTGCAAGGAAGAACGATCTAAAGAGGTGCTTCGACTTTTGCTTGTTTTTGTTTTCTTTAGACATTTCTAGACCTTTAAATCATTCTTTCCTTTCCTTTCAATCTGTCACACTCGACACCTCTTCCCAAAAACCAATGTCAATGCACAAAGGAGTGGGCAGATGGACTTGTGCTTCGTCGCCAAAGAGGATGGCGTCAGCACACTCAGAACATCGCCCCGGTCATGGCCTCCAACCTAGTCCTTGAACGGCCGAAGACGAACCTTTGTCCTCAAAGGGCCGAAGTTTGAAACAAAGGCTAGCAACAGAAGCTAGTAGTAACAAGTGCATCGCTACTAGTAACAAGTGCCTTACTAGTAGTAACAAGAAGCTAGTAGTAACAAAGGCTAGCAACACATTGTATGTGGTTTGTTGCTTTTTGCTGTTTCTGTGCAAAGTTTACATTTGGCTATGTCTTGAGCGGTGACTTAGCCAAGTATGCCAAGTTGGCTAAGTGGACGTGCCAATTAGTGAGCTGCTTGGCGAACGTCCAAGTCAGCTAACTGCAGGACACATTGGAGCACCTTGACCACGAGGGTTGGCTAATCACGGGTTAGCTAAACGCGCTTGGCTGCGCGCTCGAAGGATTCGTTGTGAGGCAGATGGTGAACCAACGGCATTGCACAAACAAGCTGAAGGCTGAAGGAGTTGAATCAGCGAAACGGCTCTATACTTCAGAGTTGAGGCACCAGAGACCAGCACCCACAGTGCAGCGTGCATAGCGAGGACGGCACGCCGTGCGCGTGTAGGGAAGCCACATGAAGCCACCACCCGGTGAGACCGGCGACACTGGGCGCCGGTGCTACGCCCTGTTACGTGACAGGCAAAACGGAGGTGACTGACCAATTTCTGCAAAGGTGGAACGTGACAACCAGCTGTTTCCGGAAAGAGCCGTGATCACTGTTGGTCGAGCAGCTTTAAGCCTTCGCACCTAGCCAGCGATTATTGCATTGAAGTGGGATAGAGGGGCGTAGGGTTTGCGGTTCGTCATTTTACGTGTGTAGAGTGTGTGAGAGAGAGGGAGAGTTCAAATTACTTGTTAAACGTAATATAAAGACATACATACATTATGTCATATCTATTTCTCTTGTATTCTAAGCGTTGCTCGGCTGAGGTGCTCAACAGCATCGTCTTTTGGTATCGAATGTCCGGGGCTTTTGCAGGATGATCTTCTGGGAAAAGACAGCTTCTTGTTCCTAGTAGTAATGCCACAAACCCCTAGTAGCGTCCAATCGCTCCTAGTAGCGATGCCAGGAGCCCCTAGTAGCGGCCCTTTGCTACTAATAGCGTCCTCTTTATGTGTTTTTGGTTTTCGCTTTCAGCTTCGCCTCAGGGCACTCACCGAATCAACCCATTTGGATCACACTCCAATGGATCTACAGAGTAGCCACGTGGACGTGCACGGAGCTGGGCGCCCAGGGTTGGCCAATTGGGAAGTTCTGGTATAAGAAAGGGGATGTAAGATGAATGTTTGACACTGTTTGATGGATTTGCTTCATATTTTGTACAGAAACTTAAAACAATCAAAAGATGAATGGATCAACAACCATCGTCTTTGATCCAAACTTTATCGAAGAATCTGAGGACTACAATCGCCACGCATATCAATGGCTTGCCACACCATTGCAGGCCAACTCGCACACCTTTTTGCCCAAAACGTTCCCTTTTGTTGTTTGTTGTGTGTTGTTTTATGTTTGTTTGTTGTTGGAGGCCATTGCTGTCTTAGGTTGGAGGCCATTCCTATTAGTATTGCAAACGCTGCAGATTCTGGTGCTTTGAGGTGTCCCAAGGAGATGAAATTCATATTCGCCTGGATCCTATAACCGAACATGAACGACACGAATGTCAGATCAAAGCAACGAAGATCTTCTCAGATGCGGACACAAAACACAGAGATGAGATCACACAGAAAAATCACAGGTAAACAATGCTTGCAGGGTGTATCAAGTGCCAGACGAGAGCCAAAGACAGGAAGGACGATCCAATATGCAGCCTGTTAGCGTGATTGTGGCAGGAACCTCTTTTCTCACACTTTTGTTAGGTTGGCAAGCAATCCACAACATCCGTGCAAAGAGTGATCCACTAGCGGCTAGCCTTGCAAGCAAAACATAGCAAGACTCACAGATCATCTACCAAATGCCACCCGCAATCTCACAGATCATCGTTCGAGTCACCAGCGAGCTAACAGCTGTATGACTGACAAATCGTTCCTGTGCTCCGGAGTCGCTTCGCACAGGAACAAACACATCACCGGACATGTGCAACAAACACACCGTATCAAGTTTTTGCTCATGTGATATAACTATAGTCTATTTTCTTGTTACGTTCGTAGCTTCTGGCCTCCAACCTACTTGTGATGGCCTCTACCTAATAGCATCCATAAGCTCTGCATTGTTTGTGACAGAGCACCACACGGATTGCAATATCATTTGTTTTTCCAATTTTGATAAGGAAGACATTTCGATCAACACGAAGTCTGAAGGGAAATCTGAAGAACAGCAGTGATTCAGTGATACTGTTTTTCTTTAAGCCCACGTTGCCCTTACCGATACTTGATTAAGTAGGCGCTTACTTAATTAAGTATGAGCTAAACAAGCTACAGGTAACTTGCTACTAGCGAGCGGACGCAGGATAGCTCTCGCACCATTCATTTGGGTGTGTATCAAAATAGGGATTGGGGGTCTCGCTATTAAAATGCACATCCATTTGGTTCCTAGACTCATTTAACAAAGGAAATACGTGTTTCCTGCAACGTTGAAATTTGTTCGAACATGTAATTAAGAGAGGAAAGGTTTCCATCAAAAGGATTCTCCTGCATCCTGCTACTTCCTTCACGACTTAGCTCCTCTTTGGACTTAGCTCCTCCTATATAACTCCTTTTCCTTTGCCTTTTCCCTTTTGGAAGGAATTGGAAGACAGCGACCTGCGGTCGAAATCTAAGGCGCCTCCTACAGCCGGTCGCGGATCCGTTTCGAAGTGCTCAAGGAGGCGAGGCGAACTTTCGGGAAACAAACGAAACAAGATGCTTCTTGTTACTAGTAGCGATGCCAGGAGCCCCGTTCGTAACGTCCTTGCTCCTAGTAGTAAGGCCAGCCGCCTCACTTCTAAAATCATCGCTGACCAGTTGTTAAGCCACTGGGCACACACTTGGCCGAGTGCCATCTCCGGGGGATTGCCATTCCGAGGAGTCCAGGACATTACATTTTTACAGCAATTTCAGATAGAATCTGCCAAAAAGCAGTCCTTGCCATGGCGTGGCTTTACCCTTGATTTAATCAAAGCCTTTAATTTGCTTCCACGCCGAGTTATCTTTCACCTCCTCGTTCACCATGGGGCTCCCCCAGACTCAGTGCAATTTTGGTTTATGAATTTACGGCGGCTGACCCGACGCCTGCAGGTTCGTAATAATGTTGGCCCTCCCATTCACATGACCACCGGTGTTCCCGAAGGCGACAGCCTGTCGGTCTGCGCCATGCTTGTCGTTTCCTCCGCTTTCTACTGGACTCTTCATACACCCACGGTCTTTCCATATGCTTATGCCGACAACTGGTCCTATTTAACGACAAACCAACGAGATAACATTCAAGCATTTGCTAAGGTCCAACAACTTGTGTCCAGCCTCCGCATGTCTATAGACTATGCGAAATCATGGGTGTGGGGTGCTACGGCCGATGCCCGTCGGGAATGGCAGGAATTTCTGCACCTTGAATTCTCTGAGGACAATCAGATTCCGATCCTTCACTCCACCAAAGACCTTGGATGCATGACACACTACACCAGACGCATCACACTCGGTCACTTGAAAACAAAGATCAGTAGTGCGATCCAGAGGTGCAAACGGATTCGACGTTTTCACACAGACCTCCTCCAAAAGGCACGTTTCATTCAGACAGCGGTCTGGCCCCACGCATTCTTTGGGGCTGAAACTCAGATCGTTGGGGAGAAGCACTTTCGCACACTCCGCCGTGAAGCCGCAATCGCACTTGTAGGACCAGAGTCCCAAGTCTCTAGTTGGCTAGCGGTCCATGCTTTCTCTCCTCAACTGCAAGACCCATTGCTTTATGTGATATCCACCGCCCTCACATTCTTACGTCGTCTTTTCCATCACAACTCGAGTCTTGCCACCCAGTTTCTCAATGCCGTTGTTCATCATACAGGTGCTGTGATCGGCCCAGCAGGTGCTCTAGCAAGATATTTGAATTCGGTTGGATGGTCGTTGGATTGCACTGGCCACCTGACGTTAGACGGCTACCTCTCAGTATCCATCCGACAAGCATCTCTTCGTCAAATACGTCAGACACTCCGACTTGCCTGGTCCTACCAAATTAATCGACAAATATGCCATCGCAAAGGCGTGACTGACCAGCCATTTGATTTCACGATTTTATCACGGGTCCTCAGAAATTTGTCGGCCACAGCTTTGCGGCAGATCGCCTATAACCTTACGGGGGGGTATCAAGTGGGAGCGGTCAAAGCCCTCTGGACCTCTACGGTGACAGCTCATTGCCCATTTTGTGATGCCATAGACACTCATGCCCATCAACAACTCCACTGTCCTGCATTTGCGTTCATTCGTCAGCAACACCCACAGGCCATCACGTATTTGACACACCATCCACATAAACTTTGGCTGCCCCTGCCAATTTCATTCCCTAAGATGGCTGAGCTGCGCCAATTGTTATCATATCGAGGGTCCAATACGAGCCATACCACCATCCACCACACGGATAACATCCTTTACTTCTTCACTGATGGCTCAGCCGATACCCCGCTCAATCCAGAGACTCGACGAGCTGCGTGGTCAGTCATCCAATTCTTGCCAGATTCCTCTCCCGCCCCGTATATTACAATCAAAATTCAGCATGTCCAGGGTATTCAATCCATTGCCAGGGCTGAACTTGCGGCTGTCGCATGGATAGTTCGCCATGCCTCTGAGCAACAGTGGCCGCATACCCTCGTCATTACTACCGATTCTCAGTATGTTATAAATACTATTCATCAAGTGACGCAGCCTCACGTTTTCCCCTCGTGGCATCGGCTAGCTAACGCGGACCTTCTGCAAGTGATCGCTGATTATTGGCAGCCGTCTAAATTCATCATGCGTAAAGTTCGGTCTCACCAGGATATCGCGCAAATGCCCCCTGGTACGGCTCGAGAGGATGCTTTGGGAAACTCGTGGGCGGACACTGCAGCAGTTCGGGCTCGACAGACTGACCATCCGGTTGTTGATTCCCTCTTTCGGGAGGCACATTTGTGGCACCATGACCAGTACACTCAGACACGATGTATTTTGGAGTACCTCGCTGCATTAAACTTGCATCATGCACAACTCAAGCAGACCCAGACCCAGAGTTCCTCAACAGGCCCCTCCGCCGATTTTCACACAGACTGGGGTACTATCTTTCGTGCACGTGAGCGCTATTGTGTTCCATCTCCTGCCATACTTTACCAACTTGAGATTCATCCAGCATTCATCACTGCCTGTGTTTGGGGAAACCAGTACGCCGACTTGGTGCTCCGTTTTTGTGCTTCCTTACGGTGGCCCTCCCCTGACAGTCACGCAACAGATGATCTAATCACTGATGGAATCACCTGGCATGAGCTTGCCATTGCATTTATTGTGAACACAGGTCTCCAATTCCCGATTTGGGTCCGCCTTGACAATTCTACTCGCGCTGAGCCGCTTCATTGGCAAGACTCTCGCGTCCTCGCCCTCCCGGTGCCTCGACGATCGCTGCGTGAACAAGCGGAAGCATTTCGTACCATTGTACTCTACCTTCAAGGTTATTCCAGTACGCCTCTATTGCCGACATACTCTAAAACCGGTTCACTCAGTCTCACTAAAGTCGGATGGGGCCGGTCTTATACCAGAGGGTTTTCTCTTCGTCCTGAAATTCCTAATGCAGGTGCAGTGCAGCGCACCCTTCTCAGATACGCCGAAAATTTAAATTGTCGACTTCCATACCATCCTGATGGCTTGGTTCCTATGCAATTTGTCCAAAATCAATTCCCAGCCGTTGAGGCAATCAACCTCACATTTCATCAAGCATTCTTATACCGGAGGAATCTTCGCAAAGCCTGGCATTGCCGGGGGGACCTGGGCTCTGTTCCCATCCCGGCTGCAGACAATTCGTAATTAATCCATAATTCCATGCCCACTCATCTTCGTGCCACGCGGACATTCGGTCTCACGTAGTTAGAGGGTGGTCATTCTGTACAGTTTTGGTGATTGGTTACCATCTTGATATTTCACCAACTCCCTGGTACCCACCAATACGGTGTAGGACCATGGGAAGCGCAGCAGACGCGGCGCAAGTGATGGGAGTAGTAAGGCCAGGGGCCCCTAGTAGCTTCTTGTTTACTGGAAGATGTTAAAAAGATGTTGAAAGAAAAACAAGACGTTGTGGCCTCCAACCCAATAGCGTGGACTCCAACCTAGTAGCTTCTTGCTACAGAATACATATTCCATACCGTTCCATACGACATGAGGTTGGAGGCCATCAGGATTAGAATAGGTCTAAAGCTCTAAAGGTCGAAGAATAAGAAACCGATTAAAAAGAGCAAAGGGCATCGCTAGTAGTAACAAGTGCCTTACTAGTAGTAACAATAAGAATTTAATTAGAATTCTAATTACTAGCTTCTTGTTACTACCAGTAAGGCACTTGTTACTACTAGCGATGCACTTAAATAAAAAAGATTAGAAACCGATTGATGAAAGGTTAGAAAGAATGAAAGGGAACAGCAAGACAATGGAACATTCGACAAGTTCTGGTTGGTGAACTGTCATTGCTTTTAAGCGTGGAGTTTCTGGGAAAGGATTCAATCCTCTGGTTTCTGCAACATTCTGCAATGGAAGAGTTGTGAACGATGTGAAGTAAGAAGCGGGTTTTGCCAATGCGTATTCAACAGATTTCCGACCTAACTCTTTCCACCTGCTGGGTCAGTGTGACTTCAAAACGCCCTTTTCGCGTGCATTGTGGTACACTGGGTAGCTTCTTGATTCACCTAACAGCTACCCAAACTTTGCTCGAATTTGGGGCCAAACTCCAAACTTGAAGGCCAAAACGAAGGACCCGTCAGCCAGAAAGCCAGCTGTAGCCTGTCAACAGATATTCAATATTCTTCTCAGCAAACTCTGTCAAGAAAGCTGAAACTCTTCGAAAATCAAGGCAGATTGCTACAAGGTTGGAGGCCATTGCTTCAGGTTGGAGGCCATCACAATTAGAATTCAGAATCAAATTAAAGGTGAAACTTATCGATTAACATCAAGGCAGATCGTCCTTTGCCCTCGTTCAACATTGACTTCTCCTTCGTGCGTTTTCTATGCATTCTGCCTTGGTCCGGCCACTCCCAGCGATGCCATTCATTTCTCCAACCGTTCTCGTCGTCCGAAATCGCTCGGTTCGGCGTCCGAAATCGCTCCTTCCTTCGTAGGGGTTTCTAGGCCTTCCTTCGTTCCTCTCCGCCCTCGAGTCTCAGAGTCTGCCATGGCGTTTGAAGCTGTGCCGTTCTGAAGTTGTGCACAACTTCAGTCGAAAGAGATCCCCAAGAAAAACCCTTTCAATCTGTCCGAGTCGTTCGAAATCTCGAACAAGAACTCTTGGAGTTGAGACCATGACTCATTCGATGGGCGTTACACACTTATTTTGGAGACTCGACTATACGGCTTATACGGCTTATCCTGGTTCTATATGTATCTACTTATGTATCTACTTATGTATCTTCTAAACACAAATAGAACTTCGTTCGCTTTCGTTTCGCTCACAGGTTCCACAGAAGCCAAAGGCTGTTGGATGTCGGACGCCTAGGTCGATGCGAAACGCTTCAAGCTGCGCTTCCGAGCGCAGTTTTCACCATTTCGGATCAAACCCACGCGTTTGAAGCAATACCAGTAACAAGAAGCTACTAGGAACAAGTGCATCGCTACTAGTAACAAG